ACTCTAGAAGCACCTTCTGGGGCCATAGTCCAGCTTGACACAGGTACATAATTTAGCCCCGTGTGGTCCCAGTTAATCACTAGATCTGGTGGTACACCTGCCATCTCCACTATGACGTTGATGTCAAAAAGAAACTGTGCTTTCAATTCCTCAAAATGCTCCACTGACACCTTAGCCTTAGTGCTAGCTCTGCGCTTCACGAAACCTAAACGATCCAAAAAACTTAGAGCCCAATTCTTTGTAATGTCGATGTGACCACCATTACATTTCAATAACCTCATGTCTGTTTTCATTACTATCCCAATTGCACATGACTTCACAATGGCCGTGTTTATCACACCTCCCTTGTCTCGTAGTGCTAAAATGTAAGCCTTGACTTGATCATCCAACTCTTTACCAAGTAGCAGTGGTCTACCTCTTTTATCATTAACCAATTTGGTCACTTCAATATCATGGGAGGACTGACGCCTCAACTCAAGCTTGTACTTCTTCATCCACGTCCTGATAGTGCTCTCTTTCAGTTGCCTTCCAGGATACTTATTCTCCAACTTGCGGATAGCCCTTGTAACGCCAAAATCTATTGCACACTTGGTAATAATGGCTTTCTCTTCAGGTGAAAAGACTTCATACTGCCCTCGAGATCCACCTGGTGCCAACTTCTCATCTTCCAGTGCTCTTTTTACTGCCCGGTTTGCTGCCTGAATATTAGATGGTGGTACTACAGATGCCAAAGGGCCAGAAGGATCAGGTAAACGGTTTGAATCTCTTTTAAAAAACTTAAGAATACCAGCCATGATAAATCTAACCACACCTTATAGGGCGTGCACAAGGTAAGCCACACCCACACAATTAAGTGTAATAAAAATTTTCACGAAAATTAATTTTGCGAGAAAGCAAAATTCGCAAAATTCGCGAAAATTTAGCGCCACGAAAATTTCCCGGTATACGGTATTGTAAATACTGTTTACATGATAAAATATTACCATACATGTATTATTTCAACAGATTGTTCTACCTGAATCTGTTACTGGTAGACAGCATCATTCCCTGTCATCAATAATGATGAGTTCAGACTGTGTGTGGTTGGTGGTAGTGGGTGGGAGAGAAACAATTGAATGGAATGATGTAGGAAGAGGATATGAGGAACCATTTGGTGGCTATATCACTGATCCTAATATCACAATGTTAATAGAACTAGGTAAGAACTGAACTATTTTGTATTGTATGTACTGTATAGAGGGATTTATTGGAGATACAAGTTAAGTCTAAGTTTGAATACATCATTGCTGGTATTCCATAACATAACATGAGGGAATTATTATTGTTATAATGAACTGCAATGATAGTTGACATAACCAAATTACCATGTTCTGTGTAT